ATTCCACATCAATTGTTATGTCTAGAAGTGGTAACCCAAGTGATGGTACAAGCAAAGAAAGAAACACCTAATTTCACCAGTAGTTAGTTATACACGAAAACTTACAAAGCTAAAATCAATCAAAACTACACAGGTACGACTTTCTGTCAGTCCATGAACGGACATGATAGATATAGATGTCTGGTAAGTCAGTATGGCTGGGCATATTTTGCATATGTGTATTTTTATTATGTAAGTGATGTGTTATGTAAAAATATGTGTGACACTTAAATAAAATATTTTATTATTATTATTATGTATATATAATGATAATTCCGGAACAAAAAGACATAAGGGTCACATACAATGGTGTTCATAAGAAGAAAATGCACATGTTATAATTTGTAACAATAAAGGAAATAATTTGAATTGATGTTGAAGTTCTACAAGAAGCTAACTGTAATATGACAACGACGATTGAAAAATATGATTTGATAATACAATACACCTTTGCACAAAAAATATTTAGTAAGGCATACAGGGAATTTGTTTCTTAAAGTAAAACACGTATATTAGAAAGAGCACATTATACATGTGTGTATATATAATCATGTACAGTTGTACCTCTATAATTAAAACGTCTGTATTTGTTTAAAAATAACAGTTGTAAGTATACACTGTAGAAGTTAGATGATATAGTCATATAATGCACGCGTAATTATAGAATTAAGTCGTGTAATAAACGTATACAGATCATATACACATCACAGTAATATAATACACGTGCAAATACAGATTATATACATATCACATTCGTGTAATACACGTGTAAACATAGATCATATACATAGCACAGTCGTGTACTACACGTGTAAATATAGATCATATACATAACACAGTCGTGTAATACACGTGTAAAACACTGCACTTGAGTAAATATAAATTATACACCAATTACAATCGTGTAATACACGTGTAAATATAGATCATATACATAGCACAGTCGTGTAATACACGTGTAAATATATCTAAACATTTTCTTCAGGTTGGTAAGTATGGATTATGAGAAGTTCTTTTTACACACCCAATGAAATTAGATGCAATTTTATTGGTTGTGTAAAAAGAACTTCTCATAATAAACGTGTAAATAAAGATCATATACATAACACAGTCGTGTAATACACGTGTAAATATAGATCATATACATAACACAGTCGTGTAATACACGTGTAAATATAAATCATATACATAGCACAGTCGTGTAATACACGTGTAAACATAGAACATACACATATAACATGATGTCATCGTGAAATTCAAACTTGTAACTATAATGCAGATACATTTAACAACCATATAGAACACATTAAGGAAAAATGAGAAACAGCAGTAGAGGGGAAACAACTCGAAAGATCATTCTCATTTCTAAAGACTAAAATCGAAGATGCACCAGTTTCAGCTAAAAGCTTCTTTTTTTAATTACAAAATTTTGACTCGACTACAAATGAATTTAATTGAAAACGACGATAATCAGAAGACACAAATTAATTAACGTTTTTAAACAAGCGAGCTTTCGATAATTATTATTTATGACTAGGTATGCAGCTAACAAGCGTCATTGACATAATTACATGGTAAGTGAGTCCTTTAACCTCACATTGTACTTTTTCGATCTTCAACATGACCTTATTTCAAACTACGGGATTCCAGTGTATGACACGATAAAATACACATCAATAAGAATCTACAGGCATGATATTAATCCGTCTTAGTACTGGCAACGATAATTAAATTAATAAAATGAAGACGACATATTGAGGTCTACGAGACAATATTAATCGTTATTACAAGGACAATGATAGGTGCCACATCTGGTTACAAGGACAATGGTCAGTGCCACATGTAGATACAAAAACATCATGATGGTTGCCACCACATATGGTTATACAAGGAAAACCAGCCTTTTTGTTTTATGAAAAACGACAGAGCACTGTGGTGAAATTTCAGCCAATGTTGCTTGGTAGACACTAAAAGTGTATACATTTCTGTTATATTTCTAATACACTAATATGGCCATGTTTACAGCATTTTTATTTTTTGAATTTCTATCATTTTAGTTGTTTAGACTTAAATCTAAAACTTGCATGTCAGTGCATTCAAAATGATCACGTCATATTCAAATAACAGAAAATCTTATTTTTCCAGAAACCTTCAGAATGTTTAATTCAACACGTAATTATGCCAGTAAAGTTTGATAATGCCTTCATTGAGAGTTCCTTTGCAGGGTCAAACATCGTTCACGCCAACTACAATGTTCCTTTTTTAATTGTTTCTGAAAGCTAAAAAGTACTTTGATAAAAAAAAAAATACCACACAATTACCGGTATCAGAAAATACAAACATAAAAATACGACCAATTACAAAGTGTACGGACCACAGAATAAAATAGATCAGAATCTGACATATAAAATGAACAACAAATTATATTTACACCGAATTAAACAACTAGCACACCTCATTGTGTAAGTGTCCGCTCCCGGGCTGACGATCTAGTGAGTTAATTGTCGTGGCCTTTTGATAATAACCATACTGGAAAGAATAACAATTAATAGTTAAAACCAATCAATGAATCTGCCTGGACATTAATGACCGGCGCTATCTGTGACGGACATTTGTACTGGTATCAAAGCTACAACCATTTAAAAGCCAACATTAAATGTAATTCCAATGTTGACTCTATGAAATTGGATACAGTACCGTTGTATTATGTTTGGTAGCGTTAGCCTAAATGACAAATGGATTAATCAGAATATCCGGAAAAATGAACGAGAGGCCGATGTTTATCATAGATTGCTTATTCGACTCGATTTCACTTCATTAGTTGTACAAGAGAATTATTTTATTTTCTGAGGTCATAAGATTTATATGAAACGAAATATGTCGATACCACAATGATTGTGAAAAAACATTCTGACAGGTGATGTTGATGAGAGGGCACAGTAAAATTGTTACCAGGTATTGTAGAGCGATTATCACCGCTGTAATTGGCGTTTGATGCTGTTTAATGTTAAATGTTAGAGTGTGGAATGTTGGCCATTATGATGTATCGAACCTGGTAATATATTACTCAACAAAAATGGACGGCAATTGTATACAATTCCACTCAAATTACACAATTGCGCAGGTTTATTTCAATTTCTGGTGATAAAATAATCGTCTGTCATTTGTAGAAAAGTGTTAGATTACTCAACTCGCCGTATGCTGTATGCGGAAACATGTTCAAACAAGAGATCAAACGAAATTCGTAATTACGGAGCATGAATTGTTGAAACAAACGGTCTATTTTCATTCCTTCTAATATATGATGACATTGCGAATTCCACTAATCTCGTGCAGCTTATAGACACATCACGTTGTCGGCATGTTCTGCCAAAATATCGGGTTCTTGTTTTATATTCCCGGAATAGACACAAAGACTAGGAAACTGATATACTGCATAGCTATTGCCACGTCTGAAAGGAATACTCCTCACACGTAAAACTTCAAAGGAAAATGTTACATGTCAGGCAAACCAAGGCGACACCTATCCAAATCCGAAAACAGAGATTTAAAAAAAAAAACACGTTATATTCAAACTTTAAAAAACATCAGGACATCGTCTTTAGTAACATTTATTCAAATTTTACTTAATATTATATACATATATATTATTTTTTGCTTCAGTGTTTTTAGAATCAATAGTATTTTATTCAACAAACACAGTAACAACAACTCAGGGGCCATAACAGCTCACCTGCAATTTAATTCGTCTTCAATTTAAACCTGTTCATTACTATACATAGCTATCAAAAGAGAACTAGAAACATAAGCTACAAACTGAATTACATCCTTAGATCGGGCACGACACCGAGGACACGAGTGTATTCGCTTCTTGTTTAGGGTGGAGATCTCAACTGTATCCATGTCACCCAGGACGTGAGCAACAAGGGACCATGACAGTCACGGAGGCCAATTGTAGTACAAGAGTGGATTTATCTCTGTGTGCATAGCAATTGTCTTCATGGTTATAGGGTGAATAATCCAAACTGCTTCCATGTAATGATTGAGGGAGTAAGTACCAAGGGTCAGGCCTGACCCAAGAACTAATCCTAGTACCAATAGTGTATTCATCTCTTCATGGCTAGCGACTGTATATATGCTGACAGGATGGGGATTTCAACTTTTTGCATATTAGAAACCAGGGAGCAAGTCCCCAGGGGTGGGGGTTGTCCTCAAAGCCAATCCTGGCAGCATGAGTGTATTGTCTCTTCATACAATTGTACCTAGCAATTGCATATATGGTTATAGGGTGGATATCTCAACTGTTTCCATGATATGACTCGGGGAGTAAGAACCCAGGGTGGGGCTGGATTCCAGAGCCAATTTTTACTATACGTGTGCATCGGTCTCTTCATGCAAAGCACTTCTATATAATTATGGTTTTTAGTATGTGATCTCAACTGTTTCAATGTTGTGACTCAAGGAGCAAGTCCCAAGGGTTGCAGCCGGATCCCTGAGCCAACCTTTGTAGCATAAATGTATTCATTTCTTTAAGCCCAGCAATTGTGTACAATGTATATATGGTCTGGTGGTTGGTTGGTGCAGTATATGACCTGCTGGCAATTTACCAAGACAGCCCTGATTCAATACCTGATCGTACGTGAAAGAGTATTGGGTCAACTGCCCAACCAGATGGGTTTTTTTCTGTGGGTACTCCAGTTTCTCTTAGTGTATTGACCTGTGGTATGTATAAGCTATATTTGTGTTAGATTTAGACCTTGTCCTTTGGTACTATGGTATATTTTATCCAAGTCAACTAATGCTATGGTGTGTATCATCTTTATATGTTGATGTTATGGTGTATTCTTCCTTAGTCTATCGACACTGTGGTATACTGTTTTATTGATGCTCTGTACTGAGGAGTTTTTTTTAAGTTGAGGAGACAGGTGGAAGGTACCATAAAATATACAAAAAGACACTCATTATTTTTCTAAATTACTTTTTATTACCATAGTTCAACTTCATATATTCTCCCTACAAAGCAACAATGAGTATTTATTGAAAGAACACTTTAACATTGTAACAAAAAAACACACAAAAAAAGGAGAAATATGAACAACAATATTTATCAAAACTAACTTTTTGTAAATTGTTGCTTGCTTTCTCTAATTTAAGAACACAACATGATACAATTAAATTCTTTCTATTCTGACCTCCTCATCAAACCCGAATCCATTTTTTTTGGTAGGAAAAAGTAGCAACCAATTGTATACTGATTTGGTCAAGATTCTCAAGTCTTGACACAAAAAATAGCAAATAGTCATGTACTGACTCGCAAAGTGTATGACAGACTTGATAGGAAAAATAGCGATTAGTGACATACAATACAAACTATAAAAAGTCTTAGCCAGAAAAATAGCCATTAGTTATGTACCAGACTAGCTACTACAATTATATACTAAACAGTCTTGACAGGGAAAATAGCAATCAGTCACGTGCTAGACAAAGTTTGAAATTTTGGACAAAGTAAATATGATAATAGTATCTTATATATTAAATTATATTATATATCCTAATTAAAGCACTGATATACAATATAGTTGTCTACAATTAAATAGAATATATTTTAAGTTCAAATAAATACCCCTCATGGTCATTTTATCACACTATATTGCACTTAATGCCGAATATGAAAGACAGATGGCATCATATAAAGCAAACATTTTTTAATCCTACTTGAAGTTTGGCACATTTTCTTTGATCGACATGTTGTGTTCTGCTGGTTTTCTGTGTATTCAATTTTTGCTATTAAATGGACCCGTTTTCACTTGAAATCTGAAAATCCTCAGCAAATCATAAGAGTAAGACAAAGTTAAGTATTTACACAAAATTGTGAATCACGAGACGCCAAGTTTATGTTGCCATGTGAACCAGATCTTGGATATAGCTGCTACTGTCCCCTTTCTCCATGGTGCTCAGGAGATCTCGGAATCCGAAGTCCTGTGCCACTTTGTACTTTAACTTGACATCCCTACAGTGAGTCTCGAGGAATTTCTTCAGGTTGTTCAGGGACTGGGTGGAGTGATTTTGTTCCACTTGGAATCTGTCAAGTGAAGAAATAAATGTAAGAATGTACATTTAATCTAAAGTTCTTTTTTGAAGATTGTCATTGATAAACAAATGAAAGATGTCTAAGACATGATAGATGTATTTTCTCCGTTTCGTGGTCTGTTCACTTACTTTTCTATGGGTTCTGACACCAGGGAGGTAGTAAGTTTGATGCGAGTTTATGTTTCGTGGTCTGTTCACTTACTTTTCTATGGTTTCTGACACCAGGGAGGTAGTAAGTTTGATGCGAGACTTGAAGTCCTGCAGGTACCGGAACTCTCCACCCATCAGTACATTGTGACACAGAGCATTCGGCCAACTTCCCTTTTTACCATAAGTCTCGCTCACAATCAAAGCCTAAAGAAAACCAAAGGAAATATCAACATCATGATACAAGAATAAGCGTCATGTTACTGCAAAACAGTATTCGGTCATTGTTTGTCATCTTATATTAACTCATTCACCCCATGAAATTTCATAATAAACTATTCCATCCTTTGAAGTGGAAAAGTTCAAATGTGTCTTCAGGCCTGGGTGAATGAGTTAAATCTAACTCAAGAACCTTTGGTAATAGGTATAAACGTTTGTCATCATCCCTTGTGAATGTGAAACGGAGGTAACATACCTCTAGAAACTTTGGATGTGAGGCTATGAGTTTTTCAGCGCCCCCTGGTGAGAGATGGATGACTGGCAGTACCGGGTTGAGGTGCTGGATCTGGAGAGCGACCAGTCGAGCGTGACGTAAACAGGTTTGGGCATGTCGCAGACAGCTCTCCTGAGGACCAAACAATACCATAAACAGTGTCAGGAAAGAGACCATTTAAGTAATGCTATTCTTTTCATTTTCTTTGAAATCATTTTTTGAAATTAATGTCAGAGTAAAAACATTCAAATTACTCACTTTGTAGTAACTCTCAGCAGCCTCCGTGAAATCCTGTACAATATTCTGAAGGTCCGTTTTTATCTCGGTTGTGTTTTCTACAGCACAAAATCATGGAGCTCATACAGCATGATAATTTAGAGTAAACAAAAAGAGACATTTAGATATTGTTAATCAATGTTATATTGAGACACACAGCTGTAACAACCTAACTACTGTGGTATCCCCAAACTATGTTTGATTGTTTTGGTTTAACATCCTTGTAACAACTAGGGTCATATGATGATGTCCCGAAGTAAGTGAGCTACACCTACATACTGTGTGATTCACAATTAAGCCTCATTTTACCTACATACTGTGTGATTTACAATTAAGCCTCATTTTACCTACATACTGTGTGATTCACAATTAAGCCTCATTTTACCTACATACCTAGAAGCTTTTCCTTGTATTTGTTGAGCCCTCTACGAGCTCGCGACTCCAGCATCTGAGCAATCTCACGGTGCATGAGGAAATTGTGTGCGACCATGTCGTAGGTATCGATGTCTGAGGGATGGTAACGTTTCAGGTAGTCTAGCAAAGCAATCTTCAAACTGTTTTCCTAAAATATCAACCACATCATACTGAAACTGTTACAACAATACGAATAACAAAGTTGAGAATTATGTGAAATTGTTGAATAATAACATCCTGCTTTAAATATTCATTGATCAATCATAATAACAAGCTATTATTGAGAATTACTTATGGCTTGAAGTTGGATAAACTGATAACTACTTTCTATATATATTAATGCTGATCACCTACTTTAAACATTATTTTAAAGAAATTGTTCTAGGTTCAGCCTCCTTGCATCAGCCAGTGTCATATGAAGATGGCTTAGACATGAAAGCAACTATATGCAAACACTTTGGGACGGATTATAGTATAGGAAATTTAAACTATATTGAATATCATAAGTACAAATTGTATCTATCAAAACTCCCAAACATTGCATACTGTCGGTATATATCAGAATTTCAATAAGTTTTAAATCAGAACTCCCTAATATACAAACATGTACAAGCAGGGAGTTTGATCCATAAACATGTTTTGATGTGCATGCTTATCCAATAACAACCAGGAGTTAGTCTAATTGATGTCATAAGACCACTTACCTTTTCTATGCCTTTTTTCAGCAGAAGCTCAAAATGCTCATTCATCTTGAGGCTGTCGAATATATAGGTCATCTCAGTGAATCTGCCGACCCCTGTCAGCAGCCGTACCTGTTAAAGCAAATAAATTACAAATTATACTAGTCCAAAGGGCAAGTTGGGTTTAGGTGGTTCAATAGTCCTTGCTGAAATCTGTTAATCTTGAACTAGAGGACAGGTGTTTGTGTGGAACCCTACAGAGAAAACACTTGACCACTAGGAGTCCAATCTAAACAGATGAAGCCAGTCTTGGCACAATTTCACTTGATTAAGTTTAGAGGAGGACATACCATGAGTGAGAAGTTTTGTGTGTTGGCCAGGCTGACGGTGATGGTGCGGGCTGACCTCAGTACGTGGGAGATCCCCTCCATATTACAGGCGGTGGTGTGACAGGTATGGGACAGGATCAGTAGCTCTGTCTGGACCGACAGCACTGTAACATATAAATATTCAGGAGATATAACTGCAGATTCATACTTAAACACACTTATTTAGAGATATATAAATGTAATAACTACAAATATACCTTCCGTTGAAAAGCTTTCTATACAAGTTTGATTTACAATATATAAATACTCTATGCAGTAACTTTTTGCTGCAGTTTAACTTTTTATTTTTCATCCTCCATAATGAATTTATTATGGAAGTTAATATTAGTACACATTATTCCTTATACAGTAATAACATGTGAAGAGTGAAAATAACAGTAGGACAGAATGGATTATACTGGTGAAATGCAAAAGTTTGACTAGATGAAATATCATGGTGTACAGTACTTGGGTTAAAAACACTAACTATTCACCTTGCTACTTGTCAATAACTACGTAACTTATATATGGTGTCAGTATTAGGCCGCCGGTCCTTCAACCTTACTGTTGACCTCACTTTCAGTCAATAACTGATAAACCTACATGCAGTGGTTATATGCTGTTCCTCAGACATTCCGGTCACGACGTCCAGCAGTCTGACCCCGAGAATGGAGGGGTCAGGACACAGGGTCACAAACTGTCCAGCCACACCTCCGTCCTCTGTGGGGTTAAACAGTAGATCCCTCTCCCCCTGAGTGTGGGCAGGGTCAGTCTGAGGTAGGTCTTCACTACCGTATGTGTACTTGTATGCATAAACAATGGAGTCGCAGAGGAAACCAGCAACCTAGGAAAAAAGGTAAGCAAAAGAGCAACAATTATTAAAATACTGGTGAAAACATTGGCCCTATATGCTACTGATGTAATCCTTTCGTTATTGTACATGTAGTACATATTGTAAATTATACCTGTAGTAAATATTGTGTATTATACCTGTAGTAAATATTGTATATTATACCTGTAGTAAATATTGTATATTATATCTGTATTGTTACTCCTGCAGTATATTATTTCCAGCCTATGTATGTCGATGATTACTACTTCACTTATAAAGACTTGTGATAGGAATGATTGTATGCTTTGTACCAGCAAAAGCACCAATAAAATCATCTAAAATTCTGAAGGACTGATCAGCTTCAAAAAAATCAGGACAACATTAAGCTAGGCTGATCACTGTCCTTTAAGAGAGGAGTTACACCCAGACTTCAGAGGTGGTCAAGTTTAACAGTGTGTTATGTTAACATGTTATTTCTTTCATGTTTTTCAAAGACATCAGACTAGTGTACTTATATATCATTCACAAGGTGGTTCCTATAGAGCCTTTGATTTTGTCATGCCAGATTTCAAGGTTGTAGAAATGATGGTTTATCAAGAGCAGAACCCTTGGATTTCCAAGGTGAATGACTGATATATAGTTAGCATTGGACTATTGATAAAACACAGAACAAACACAGCTCCAGTGTCCTTAGTCCATTACCTGAGAGTTTGTGAGAGAGCAGCTGCTGATTAACTCTGAGGCTGTGTACCTGTGAGTTTGTGAGAGAGCTGCTGCTGAGTAACTCTGAGGCTGTATACCTGTGAGTTTGTGAGAGAGCTGCTGATTAACTCTGAGGCTGTGTACCTGTGAGTTTGTGAGAGAGCTGCTGCTGAGGAACTCTGAGGCTGCTTACCTGTGAGTTTGTGAAAGAGCTGCTGCTGATGAAGTTGGAGGCTACCTACCTGTGAGTTTGTGAGAGAGCTGCTGCTGAGTAACTCTAAGGCTGCTTATCTGTGAGTTTGTGAGAGCTGCTGCTGATTAACTCTGAGGCTGTGTACCTGTGGGTTTGTGAAAGAGCTGCTGCTGAGGAAGTTGGAGGCTGTGTACCTGTGAGTTTGTGAGAGAGCTTCTGCTGAGGAACTTGGAGGCTACGTACCTGTGAGTTTGTGAGAGAGCTGCTGCTGAGGAATTCGGAGGCAAGCCAGAACCTCTGAGGGAGACTTGTCTGGAGAAGTTCCTTGAGGATGGTAAACTCCTTAGCTAAAACCACGTCCTCATAACCTTTGTCCAGGACCTGTGGAAGGCAGAAACAGTTGTAACAACAGAGAAATTGTGAAGAAAAAAATCCTTTCTTTTGTTTCTTTTCAAAACCTTTGATGACTTGATTCACTAGTTTCATAGTCTAGTAATGTATTTCAGTTATAACTAAGTATAACCAGAAAAATATGTATGACTTATATAATAGAATGTGTAAATGTTATCAAAGATGACGTTCAGTCTCACTGACACACTGTTGTTATGACATTCAGTCTCACTGACATACTCACTGTTGTTATGATGTTCAGTCTCACTGACATACTCACTGTTGCTATGACGTTCAGTCTCGCTGAAATACTCACTGTTGTTATGACGTTCAGTCTCACTGACATACTCCCTTCTCACTGACATACTCACTGTTGCTATGACGTTCAGTCTCACTGACATACTCACTGTTGCTATGACGTTCAGTCTCGCTGACATACTCACTGTTGTTATGACGTTCAGTCTCACTGACATACTCACTGTTGCTATGACGTTCAGTCTCACTGACATACTCACTGTTGCTATGACGTTCAGTCTCACTGACATACTCACTGTTGCTATGACGTTCAGTCTCACTGACATACTCACTGTTGCTATGACGTTCAGTCTCACTGACATACTCACTGTTGCTATGACGTTCAGTCTCACTGACATACTCACTGTTGCTATGACGTTCAGTCTCACTGACATACTCACTGTTGCTATGACGTTCTGTCTCACTGACATACTCACTGTTGCTATGACGTTCAGTCTCACTGACATACTCACTGTTGCTATGACGTAACAGTTGAGAACTTGTTTACAGCACTGGTTTCCATGGTGACAGTGGTCAATTAAAGCCTCCATAGTGATTACATTTTTCTCTTGGCCAACTGGCAGGAAGTCCCAGGTAGTGGACGCCACAGATGCTAGACTGACCACTGGGGAGGACAACATTATATCAGAGGTAGGTTTGTATACTTATTAGTTAGGGTGAACATTACATTAAAAGACAAATGATGAACTGATCTCTCCTCATAGGAAAAGTCAGATTCCATTTAGTAAAGAGTAGAAAACAAAAGGCTCAATGGTCCTGGCTGTATTTCTCTTTAGTTCTGAATTTGTAGATGTGATTTGTTTCCCAGTTTCACAATAAATCTCTCTGAATATAATGATAATCACAATAAATCTTCATGACTATTTCTACAATGATATTGGTAAGATTGTAATATAGTGTACACTGTAGATCAGATAGGACTTAAAGAAACCCTGATCGGTTGTTATGTATGCTATACTTACTAGAGGCCTTCCTGTTCATCCTGCCAATATTCTGAGTGGTTGCCATAGACAACCTGCGATGTCCAGTGGATTCAGCCAACAGGCTGACCATGGTCATGTCCATTGATTCCCCAACAGTGACCACTCCCAAGGCCAGTCGGATACACGTCTGTGGAAAAAGAACATTTCCTGGTCATCACAGACACGTCTTAACATAGGAAATTGTCTTACTTAAGATTGTTCATAGAAAACATTAGGAAATTGTCTTACTAAAGATTGTTCATAGAAAACATTAAGTGATATGATATTAAATGAAATGTACTGTAAAAATCAAGGAAAATTTCTTTAAGGTAAAAAAATCCCATCAATTTTTTTTATTATATGCAGGCCTTGAAAAGGCATTTTCTTTTAAAATTTATATTCGTACAAAGACAGCCTAAGGTTGCATGCCTTTTTGTTATTTTTTTCCCCACATTAGTCATTGTAATTTTGCATAAAAGTATCAATATAAATATCCTGACTAATTCTGTAGTACAGTGGGTAAGATCCATGCTTTATGAATAAAAGGTCCAGGGGATCACACCCCAACGGCAGGGATTATTTTATATCTGAAATATATATTTTGGCAAGCAACTCCAGGACAGAAAAATACCAAAGAAATGGAACACTTGTTCTTTGAAGGCGATACAATGTAGATTACTGGACTCTCTACCATTTTCCATTATTTTTGTACACAAGGACAAAATATCCATCTAATACCAATTTTCTACTGTATAACCACAGAAAGGCATAATAGACTACATCAATAAACACACAATGATAAAATCATATCACTGAGTTGATACGAAAGAGGAACAACATAGGACGTTAACTGACCAGGATGATGACCAGGTCCCGAGAGTAGAAGTGGAAGTCGGTGGCCAGTCTACAGCTCTCTATCACTTGACCAGAGTCCAGTAGTTCCTGTATGAGCAGGTCAAGTGCCTTCCTCTCCTGTGAATACAATACACACAGGTGACACAAAATGTAATGAACAGAGTCATGATAATACGAAGATTTTCGAGTTGAACTTACAAAGTTTAATCTTTATTAACAGCTCATGACTTAAAAATAAGTCAACATACAAATAATGAATAAAGAACACAAAGGTTTCACAGTAAAATTACAAATACTTATTCAGACACCACCTTGAAATTCTAGAAGTGGCTGCTTATTACAGGTTCAACTATATTGGTCTCTTAACACAGGTAGTCTCTTAATAAATGTAATCTCTCAAGCAGGTAGTTGTTTAATAGACGTGGTCTCTCAAGCAGATTTGACTGTATTCATAACATGTAACTTAAATAAGAAATATAACAAAAATCAGTATGTTAAATACATCATTAAACTTACTTTTATGAAGTGAGTTTTGAAAAATCGGTTGGAACCGTAAACATGTTTGAGATTATTTGTATCATGTTATCAACCAAGATCAATCAAAGTAAAAGGAATAAGTATACATGTAATTATTTAAACGAAAAATAGTCTAATGAAGAAGGCCTCATTGACTAGGTATATGGCAACATACTGCTGAATGTGAGATGTCTATTTACCTCCTCTGTCAGTTCATTGGAGACTTGATCTTCACGAGGCATTTTGCCGTAGTTGAGTAGTTCCTTCTTCCGGTCGTGAGTGTCAGACGGTAGATGACTGCTATCATCTTCAAAAATGTCTTCCATGAAATCGTCGCTGTTATCTCCCTGCTTTAGTAGAGAGAGAGGGAAAGAGAGAAAGAGAGAGAGAGAGAGAGAGAGAGAGAGAGACAGATGTTACTAGAGTACTGACAGACAGTATAATTTACAAACACAACACAGCATTGCCAATGTCTTCATCTCATTTTCAATTCTAAACCATCTGTAAATAGTTTTGAATGAGTTAAATCATACACATGATTCTGTATACCCTGCAATCTTATTCCCATAAAAATATTTCAAAGATATTTGTTTTACATTATAAAGTACATGTTTATAACAACACCCAGGCAAGGGGACCCAAATTATAGAATGGTCACAAGGAATTCATGAAAAAATAGAATAAACATATTTAAACTACTTGAACAGTTTCTGGGTTTTTTTAAGAAGTATAAAACATTATTACACTTTTGATACAGTTACTGACAGGTCATACCTGTATCTGCTCCATCTTGGCCCTGATTCTGTATATGCTTAACGTGTGGTAAGTCTGGTCAATGAGCTGGAGCATGTCGGTCCGGGCCAGGGCCTCCATGTGTTGGACACATAACTGGTACAGGTACGCCTTCTCCTGATAGCTCTCCACCAACCCAGCCTCAGTCTGTATCATAAAGTGACACCTCAGATATGAGCTTCATTTGATATAAATCATTTCCTCCAACAGGAGCTAATACTGAGGATAGGAGGTATTTTCTTCGATATGAGCTTCCATTGGGAATAAGAAGCATTCCTTCTTACGGAATCAAATATGATATAACGCATTCTCTCAGACATGAGTTAACCTTCAGAGTACAAATCATTCCCTCAAACATGAACTAACATTTAGGACATAAAGCATTATATTATAAAAATTACAATCAGTCTTCCAGAACTCCTCAATATCTTGACAACATGTGATATACGTACCCAAAGATCTCAACTGTATCTAAGATAAGCCCTACTTACCTGAAAGAAGTCTGTTGCTTGCTCCACAGACAATTTATAGTTTAGAAAAGAGTTGGCACACTGTTTCCAAAATCTCTTACGTACGATGCTAGAATGCCATAGGGGAGATAACTCTAGCTTGGATTTTTCATCTTTCACCTAAGAAGGAAACACAAATCAGAAAATACTCTAAATGTGGCTTGCCTCGAAAGGCTGAACAGAGTCTTTAATATATACTTTGTTTTTTTTAAATTGATACAGAAGCAGTATTAATAGTGATAACTTGAAAACTATCAAAAGTTTAATGTTAAGTTTTAAGATTTCTAAATGCTCTCAACTTAAACTATATAGTTCCATAATCAACGATTCATGGAATAATAACAAAACAGAATATAGACAAAACAAAGGCAAATGCCATAGTTATATATATACCTCCGCCATAGTGATGTGATCATGTGACAGCCCCGCTTCACGGGCGAACTCCCTCGCCTGATGGAACATCTGACGCTCCACCATGACATCTAGGATCCTCCGACTCTCTCCGTCCACCTCCGACTCCTCAGTAGACACCAGGCTGGCGAAGTTTACATCAGGGATTGGTACGTTTACCACCATCTGTAACATCCGTGCTAGTCTGGCAAAGTCTGGTACTACAACGGAAGTAATGACCAACAATGAAATAAAAACAACTCAGGTTTTTACTAACAGGAGGCCCAGGGGTTGGAAGAGTTCAAGGACAGATGAAGAGTCACTGGTAGCTCAGCTAGCCTGCGACCACACAATTTGATAATGAAAGAGTCTAGTGTGGTAAAATATTGGACCTAATTCAATTCAATTTCAAAAGTACAGTTTATTTTTTTTTAAACACTTTTTAAATAAATCACGAAAATATTTTCTAAATCTTGAATATAAAAAAAAATGGCTGACATTGAATGTGCTCTCTCAAACTAGACCACGACCACGAGGTGAACTTTACCAAAGAAGCTATACCCTCCAGCTTGAAGATCAAAAGTTTGATAAACAAAGATGTCATAGCATCAATTGCAACCTTGATGATGAAAAGACTGATTAACAATGAAGTTATATCCTCAACCTTAAAGACAAAAAGTTTGACTAATAATGAAGTTATATCCTCAACCCTAAAGGTAACAAAACTTCGACAGACAATTAAGTCATACCCTCAAACTTGAAGACGAGGACGATGCTCTCGCTGTCCAGGAGGCGGAGAAGCTGGAGGATGTCGTAGAGGCTGTTTGTGTGTGTGAAGTGGTGCTGGAGGACCCTGAACACCAACTGTTGGAACCAGTCTGTATCCCCAAATATAATGGCTCGCTCCTCTGGTGTGATGTCATGGCAGTACTGTCATTACAGGGGGAGACAAATGAACTTTGAGTTTATTAATAATTAATTTATTATATTTCATGTAAGAATTTCTTACAACAATATAAATCATAACCACACCTCCCACAATGAAACTTGAGGAGTTCCTTAACTCATTCACCCGTATATATTTAAAATGGACTTGCCCGGTTTTTGAGTTGGTAAGGTGTCAAATGTGAATGGGTTAAAACATAGATTGATTTCAAGTGTATAAGATTTGCCTTGGATTAAATATCTTAGGATTCCAAACATATGTGTTGAATAACAGAATTAGAACTGGCAAATTATTCCACATGGATTAAGGTCAAAATGCCTTTAATTTGTATACATACCAGATGGAAAGATTCCTTAAAGTCTTCCAGTAAAATCTTACAATGGCTAAAATTTCTCCTTTCTGAAAACTCTGCAGAAAATTTGAAGAAGGGGATGATTGGACTGTCCTGTAAAACAAAGGGAATCAATCAATCAAATTACCTAGATATTGGATTTTATATCTACCTTAAGCAGTGAATGAAAACAGGAGATTCTGGATAACTATTTATCAAACTCAGAGGCCTACAAGTGAGGTCTCCTGATATGATGTTACTGTAACACAAATCAAATGTTGCCGGTTTACAGAGTTATTTTTATACTGACATTGTCCTGATAATATCAGACATTTAACATGTTTGCTACAGTAGCTAGGATTGCCTATTCCGTCTTTGCGTATTGCAGAGTTATCTTCTCTTGGGAGCAGGTATTGATTGTTACGTCATTGGTTTGTGCGAGAAAATTACGTCGGTTTCTCAAAAATTAATGACGTTACTCTCACAAAAAAGTGACGTAACAATACCTGCTCCCAAGAGAAGATAACTCTGCAATACGCAAAGACGGAATTGATGTATGCAAGCAGCATTTTTAATTCCACATTTGGCTTTAAAAATTTTGGTCAACCCTATATAATTCTCTTTAAATAAATGACTGCAGTATATAATACTGTATTTTTAATTGGTAACAGTAAATTGTATCTTTTATGTACATCAAAGAAATCTCATAGTTACCGGTTGGAATATATGGAAGCCATTGGCCAGTGTAGACACCCAGTTATTCTGGAGGTAGATGTCGATTATACTACCAAGATGACGCAAGTTCCATTTCCCCGCAGATTTTCCGTAATTTTTCAAGAACTTGTCATGTTCTTTGACATCTAGCATTGCCACAAGCCAGCCACACAGACAGGGTAACCCACAGGCTTCCTGGAAGGCAGAGAGGGGTAATGAAGTAGGACTGAAATGTACTAAAGGTCAACAATTTTATAAGACTTTCATTACACTTAAAAAGACATTCATTTAACCTGGAATAAAGCACAACTAACAATGTAAAGGTGTTAATTCTCGGCCATAGAAAACTTTGTATTGTGACTTTTGGACAGTTTTCTGAAATCTTTATCTTCTTTATATCTATAATCTAAATAATCTATGAATAAGAAAGAAATCATGTGTAGGTACTTTCACTCAACACGAAAAATGCAACCGTTTCCAAACTTGAAAAATTCCACTGTTACAGTATATGGTTTCCTACCGGGATACATGCGGCCAGTTCGGAGAAGAGCGGGTTACGCAGGATGATGGAGTACTGCAACAGTGACCTCCACTGACATTTGGATGACTGTGTCACAAATACAACCCGGAACACATCGTCAGGTGCCGAGTCTATGTCCACCATCAGGACTGTTAAATACAGAGTTATTGTACAGAATAAAACTTTAATAGGACTTGGAGCACCTTGTCAGTGCTGATCAATTATAAAGTCTACCAGATATACTATTAAATACATTTATACAAATATATGAAATACAAGCCTGTCGGATTAATATGTCTCGCTTATGCCCCACTTTGACCATCAATGCACATTTCAGAGAAACTAACTTAAAAGCAAAAAAATAATGTTGTTGGAGATGCTGACAAAACCAATGGACCATGAAAAGTATGCCGCATCCAGTATTTGATGCATGGGTTGAGATGTACTACCTAAGATACATCTATGGTCCAAGTTTGGTTGGTTTAGCACTCATACTTTCAGAGAAACTTACTTAAACATAAAAACTTAATGTTGAAGCCGTCGCCGGAAAAGTAACACCTAAGTCTCGCTTCCACTTTGTGGCAGAGAGACAAAAACCAATTCATAATTTCACAATAATTTTTACAGCGAAATTCAGCAAGGAGGCCCACTTGGACCTTGGCCAAATAACACTAAACAGGAAATAAATATTGAGAATATTATCAAACAGTGCTCACCACCATTATCACTGTCGTCTGCCTGTTGTACAGAAGTAAGCTGGTCCTCCTCGTCACTACTGAGGTCCACTGGAACACAAGACGTATCAAGCTGACCACAGGCAAATCAACCAATCAATACTCATAACACAATTGAAATATATAGTAGAAAAATGATTGCACAAAAAATACCACTACGAAATAGAATTGTCAAAAAATATTAGCGCAGTGTACTGATATATACATGTGATAGATGTCAAACCAAACCTCTTCAAAATACTATACTTACACTACAGTCTGTTCTACTTCCAAATTTCAAACTATTGATACTGTCAAGAGAACACTTAACTGTCAAAATAAAAGATATAAGAGGCAGAAGAGGTGGTCTCTGGACTTGTCTGTGAAAACCTGTATCTTAAGATTGAACCCACTAACTATTTTGTTATTATCTATATCTACACTGATGTCCTTGTTGTTGCTGTAAAATCTACAGTCACTGACCTGAGTCTGCATCTTTCTTGAGCCCGATTCTGACGTAAAGTGAAGAGCGCACATCCTTGCCCTTTGATCCAGCCTGACCTTGACCTTCTGTCAGCACCTGTCCCAGGTCACAAGCCCTAGTCTCGGCATTTTCTATCACATAGTGCAAGTGTTGCTGGAGGTGCACACTCTTGAATTTATACAGTAGGCTCTGCAGCTGCAAAACATACAGGTGAACAAGATTGTAAATTAAATCTATATTTTTGTAACTGTGAACAATGATAAAAGAAACAGAAATTAGAAGACGAACCATCCTATTATTGTAACTTTCCTACATTTCCTTCAAGTTTTGAGAGAACTAACCTGTTCCTTAGGATACTGGTGTGTCTGAGCGAACCAAAGGAAGGACAGCCATTTATCAGCCTGGCAGCACTCCTCCAGGAACTTGGTGGTCATCTGTATGTGCAGTACCTGACAGAACAGCACGGCTATCGTCCACTTCTGACCAGCCTCAAAACTTGTGCTACAACAGATTCAAGATATTCACCTGATTAAATTTGTATCAACATTATATACACACAAATGTAAGTTTCTAAAAGATAGACCTGTATTTCATTCATCAAATTAGTGTGCGGTAGTCTGGGTATGTCTATGTTTTACATAGAGTAAATTAATAGTCTAGGTCAAGTTTAAGATTTGATTAATAGTCTGGGTAAAGTTATTACTCATAGATACTCTGAATTACAGTGATAAGAAATGTTCCACATCCATATTTGAGGTATAATGTATACCTGGAAATGTCTTGCCCTGTCAAATATTTGCCCTTCACAGGTAAAATCCATATTTGCCGAGTGTAAATTTCACCCTTTACAAGTAATTACTATACTATTGCTGCATACTAATTACACTGTCATGATAAACCTGTCCTTGTTATGGAGGGAGAAAATTCCCAGTATACAGTACATACCTGTGGATGTGCAGACATACGTCGAAAGAATCCAACAGAACAGTGTGCTATGTATATGTGGTGGTTATATAAGTGGAGTTATGGAGTTATCCCAGCTCACTGAACCACAACTGTTTTACAGACTGAATGCTACATGTAGCTCTAAGGCCAAAGACGTTAAATATCAAGATATCAATTGATTAGACAATGACAATGTGCTACGATTCCCATTCCAGTAATTGATCAATCTACCGTACCTAGGAATGTCATCCTTATCAAGGCTTGCGCTAATGGCCTCCTCCAGTTTGACCAGCAGGAAAGTGGCCTGTTTCCTCTGATGTAACGCACAGCCACACAGCCAGGACGCTGGGTGTACAAATACACAATACATGTAGAGTAAAGCCTAATATAATGGCAACTAGCAAGAACCAGATCAATTGGTCAGTATGTCATTATAATCAGTAATATACAGTGCATTTAAAACACATCAGACGTTACAATTTTTCCTTAACATTAGTTTTGGTAATATCAGGTTATACTGCACTTGTATGTATTGAATGTAACATGTATTTACCATCAATAGAAGATAACAAATATAACAGTATCATTTTTTTTTTTTTTCAATTGCTATTTCAATAAGTAAATTTGAACTTTATCAATAGAGATCCATTAGGTCAAGTTTTGGTGGTTAGGAAGGGAAGTAACTCTGACGGAATTACAAGGGTCTTTAAACCACCAAGATTTATGTGTTTATTAAATAAATATACAATATATTCCTGTCAGATGAACAAATTGTCTTGGTCTACCTAGACTGTCACTTGTTGCCACCTCACAGTGATTTTTCTCTAGTTCAACAGATCAAGTAATTAGACAGGTTTCTGTTTAACCCAGAGCAACTGGTAACTTCAAAACATAACCTTTGGTTGGGATAAACCTGCTGTACCAGTAATTATTATTTTTTCATATTATTCCCGACAAGTGATTGGCCAGGAGTGCATCACGTGTCCACCGATAAAAACTGATATTGACTTGGAGCACGTGATTTTTGTTGAAGGACTGGGTGTTTCTAAAAATAGAGTTATGACATGTCTCCAAACAATGCAGCGTCCCACTTCCGAAGCTTTTTGTTGTGGGTTTTTTTCAGATTGCTTACATTACTGTTTTGTAAAATAATAAAACAATTGTAGCCTTTTACTTCGGTCAATACCTGGATTTATCGACCCGAGAAAAGATATATTAATCTCGTCCAGCGTCCTCGGTCAATATATCTTTTCTTGGGTCAATAAATCCAGGTATCGACCTCAGCCAAAGGCTATAATTGAATAATGTTAAAACAAGCCCTGTATCTTTTCGATAAGGATCATTAGAAAAAACATACAACCACTATAAATTGATCCTTATCTTATAAACTAACAATTTAAGTCTAAGTTGTTGGGAAGATGATGAATAAAGAAACCCAATCCTGTTTTCTAGTGGTGAATGAAAAGTGACCCCAGTAACCTACCTATCTCTGCCTCGTTGTGGCGTGCCTGCTCCTTACGGCGGTCAATGTTGCCGGTCAAACAACTGTTGAGGTAGAGCAGTATCTCCTGCCCTACCTGCAGATATGTCCTTATAAGGATGCTGTTTTGTCCAAGCATCTCTGTGAAAACGACACATGCACAGGAAATCTGGGGGTTGTGAAAGTTTTTTATTCCAATCCAAAGTGCTGTTCCACATGCAGCCAGGATGCTGAGGACAATCATAAAATGTAAAAAAAAACATTTTCCAAGAGCTTTGAAAAGTCTAATTCAAGCAAAAAGTTGTAGGTGCTCCAAATATTTCAAAGATATGCCTTACATTTTCTTTTGACATCATTTATTATTTTCTGACTTTTAAGAAAGCTAGTGCAAACTGTACTAGATTTAGTATACATATATCTTATTTAAACTAACACATTAACATCCTTTATAATTAAGTCCATCTGATATTTTATGTACCGTAAGAAAATCAGCTTGCCTCCAAATTAAATAAATTTTATTTAGTTGTCTCTGAAAATGATTCTCAGTTTAGTACATTTTGTAAGTACACATGTATATTGCATTCATTTGTCCAATGTCGAATATTTTATGAAAAATATTTAACTTTTAATAGAAATGGAGGTGATAAACAAAGGAAGGTTATATCACCTTTTGTTGGACAGTGTCGTAGGGTCAGTGTCAAGCTGTTCTGCCAAAAACGATGCGAAGGCGAAGGACGGTCTGCCTTGTCGTAGGTAGTAAGTGTATCTAATCCTCTCTGTGTAGGCGAATCGGTTCACCAGCTCCGACATGGAGAAGTGGGGCAGCTGTCGCAGGGATTCTGTAGGGAGGAGTTACATGTCATATGTCTCTTTAATGTCACATGTTAGTCATGTGATGTGGCCGATGGGACAGGTTTAATCTAAATCATGTGACAACAGTGTGGCACATTAAATGTTTGGTCATACGTTATGATCATCTAGGAAGTTAAAATACAGTTTTCACAACAGAGAAGAGTAGTTTTTAACAGTTAGGTATATCATAAGACTGTATCATTACCAGAGTGGAAAATGTGCCCAGAATATAAAGTAGGGGGGGGGGTGTACAAACCTTCTCCTGTTGTACGGTTCATAGACTGCCAACCAAACAGTCGACTTGGACTAAATGGGGCATTGTCCTGTAAAACAAAAGTATTTCTAGCATAACACAAACCTGATTTGAATTTTTCTTTGGTATTTATTTCAATTTTATATGTCTGTAAGTGTTGTTTATTGGGAAACGTTTCCTGCACTTTTATAACTGTTTTAAGTATACATTGTCAATTGTTTACATGGAAGATTCTATTAAAAATGTTGAAGTGATAATTCCACTGTTTAAACATCTGAATCAAGCTGCCTTCAGAATTGGAACCTAAACCCCCAGCCACATTCAAGCAATCTAGACATCATAGTCACCTGGGCTGGTACTAATTCTCTTTTACTATCCTTAAAAACGTATCAGGATTTATAGGACAATCAAAAAAAATCATAACAATAACAAAAGAGAAGTTGTCCAATAATTTCCTGTTCTATACAACATATTTTCTAAATACTGTACACTTAGACAAATTAAATAAACGTGAAAACTCAAACAAAATTGTCTGGTTCAGAAAATGAAAGCTTGCAAATAATATTGTAGTGGCCTGGACAAACCTTGAGTAGCTGATAAATGGTGACATCATTCTGGGGTTTGTCGATGGTGGAGGTGGGGAACAGAGCTACATGGAGTTTAGGGTATGGCTGCAGGGCTTGCTCCAGAGCCTCCACGCTGAGTCCACCAAACATTGCTGTCATGTCGGTCCCAGGAGTAATCTGAAGCAGACCAATTAAAAATTGTTACACAACAAAATTGTTCTCACAAGTGAAAATTCCACAAAATTACTGGTGTTTACTTGAGTATTTTCATATCCTCAGAATTTTATAAATGAAACATGATTTAAACTTCACTTCTAGGTAAGGTATCACAAGTGCTTTAAGAACTTTGTTCTAACAAATCAGAGAGTGAAGAGGAGACTTACCTGTTGTAGGGTATGTGGTAAGTACATAAGTGTTGCAAGGGCTGTTATGACTTCACCCTGACCAATCAGAGCGAGGATAACAGACTTACCTGTTGTAGGGTATGTGGTGAGTATACAAGTGTTGCAAGGGCTGTTATGACTTCACCCTGACCAATCAGAGCGGGGATAACAGACTTACCTGTTGTAGGGTATGTGGTGAGCATATAAGTGTTGCCAGGCCTGTTAGGATTCTCCCTGACCAATCAGAGCAGGGATGACAGACTTACCTGTTGTAGGGTATGTGGTGAGTATATAAGTGTTGCCAGGGCTGTTAGGACCTCTCCCTGACCAATCAGAGCGGGAATGACAGCACCGTCCAGTGACCAGGTGAGGGCTGCATTGGCTACGCTGGCTTCACATATACTGACCGTGTCTATAGTAACGAATCAAAAGTCTAATGAACAGTTATATTTGACAATAAAGTTTATTTCTTACACTTCATCAAGCAAGTTTCTTTTGTTACAGATCAGATGACACCTCCATTCATTAAGATAACATGGGAGAAGTGTTGAATCTGTACAAACATGTAATTCTGGAGAGATGAACATCCCTAGGGGTAGTCTGTGACAACCACTTAGCACCAATAATATGCAATGTACATATTTTCACAAATGAGTTCAATATTTTTCTTAACAATTTTTGATAAATCCACAATAGATAAGAGATGCCCAGAATATATTATATAAAAATGTTAGTTGAAATAAAGAATAAAGTTCAGTTATATCATCTGTTTTCTGACACTAACTAACCAATACCTACTGTGGGGGTTGGTGGCCACGGAGTATAACTAACCAATACCTACTGTGGGGGTTGGTGGCCACGGAGTACATGTGGACAAAGAAGTCCAACCATTGGTGGTCACTGGAGGCCTGGGCCACTCGGGACAGGACATCAGACTGGACCCTGTAAATGGAAGAGAAATACATGAAAAATGATGTTTATCCCTATCCTGTCTCAAAAGAAGGGTGAAGAAAAGTTTTTTTTAAGCTGAAAAGATCGTTTCTATATACCAAATGCCATTCTCAAATTTAATCACTATAATGATATTTCCATGTATGAAGGAGCCTAGGAATTCATTATATGTGGCCTTGTCTGATACAAAAGTCCTACCCGAGAAAGAAACAGCTGGGACAGCCAAGAACCTGTTCACCAGAGGAGGGAGATATTGCATCCTACATGTCAACAACATACAACAACAGTTTCAAGATTTTATTTCATACTTCCACAAGAATCAAACTGTGTGTTTTTGTTCGGCTGAACATAAAAAGACAAAGGGATATTACACAGTCACACTTTCAATTTATCAAAAACACGTTGTAGGACTTGGCAACAATATTACACCATCTCATGGACTTTCTTTTACCGGCAAAATGTTGCATCAAATGTTCCCGTGTTTAATAGTTCATGCACTTCTCAATGTAGTTCGCGGTTCACACAAACTATTCAGGACAAAAATCAAGCAGTTTTCCTGCTCTTTCTTGCAGTCTTTCCCATTTTTAGTGTATAGCACAAAATAAATTAAATAACACAAATCAAAACAAATCATAAGATTTAAATTCATTCATCAATTAATATTTTATAATGAATTCATTTCTACACAAAACATTGAAAAATGTCCTCGTAGAAATGAATAACTGTTATTAGTTTGAGGTGTTTTCAAGGAATATTGAGCAAATTCCAACACTTTTGCCAAAAAACACCCCTTTTCCAGTAATTATCAAGCAGTGAATCAATCCCATCACCTGGTCTGTTTACGCCATGTGAAATATTGCCTACAAAAGAAAATCAATTATCTCCCTTTGACCACAAAGATGCATACGATGTTGTCATCAGAGATTTTATGCCCTGGGGTTTGTAGGTATACTGTACCTGTGAAGGAGACAGTACTGCCAGAGGAGACTGGGAAGGTTGTTGTGTACACAGTACTTGGTGAAGTCCTGATGAAACCTCTCCTGGATGTGGACAGGGTAGGAGGCCAGTGGGTGTGGCACAACTAAAGGACCTCCTACATATCTCATCTGTTCCAGCAACATGGGGAAGTCGGCCTGGTCCAGGTATAGCTTGTTTCTGTAAAATAAGTCATAAAACGATCATTCAGAATGGTCCATGAATAGCTTGTTTCTGTAAAATGAGTCACAAAAGTATCATTCAGAATGGTCCATGAATAGCTTGTTTCTGTAAAATGAGTCACAAAAGTATCATTCAGAATGGTCCATGAATAGCTTGTTTCTGTAAAATAAGTCACAAAAAGATCATTCAGAATGGTCCATGAATAGCTTGTTTCTGTAAAATGAGTCACAAAAAGATCATTCAGAATGGCCCCATGCATAGCTTGTTTCTATAAAAAAATAATAGTCACAACAGAAACTTTAATGATATGTATTTTTGGTAATGTTCTTCATATATTTCTCTGCGAAAATATTTCAGGTCCACTCTAAAGCAAACTTGTCACCTTGAACTTAATGAAATAGCACATTTAATACTGATTCTGAAATCATTTTGCATTTTATTCAATATAATATTTCAAAATGAGATGAATTGAATAAAATCATGTCCAATAAATTTCTATGGATATCCTACTTTAAACCAGAATATTTTTGCACTGCCAAATTTTTGTACTTCTGGCTTTGAAGAACATGTCTACTTATCGCTACTGCTAACTATACATATGTAACATTTGTCTTCACCTTCGACAACTAAAGGAAAAAAACAAAAATGGAGGCAAAATATCTGTTTTTCTAGCTTGGGAAAAAGTCACAATAAATTGAGTTCCCTCTACCCCATAATTTTGGAGTGCTAAAGATACTTCATACAGTGAATATAGCATTCTTATGAAAAATGAACAGAAATCAACTTCCTGTTAAATATCTTAATAAAAAAACCTGAGAAGGGTTAATGACTCGATTTTGCAGGCCTGAAAATTATTAACCCTCCCAAATCTATTCTTAAACAAATAACAGTGGCATTGCTAATATGCATGTCTAAACAAACATAATCAAGAGTCCCACTTACTGAACACAATAGCGAGTGACCTGGAGGAATGTGAAGGCGGTCAACTTGCTGGCCTGACTGTGTATTTCCTGAACGATGGTATGGTTACCCGACTCAGCGGCCTGGTCAATAAGGTCCTTTAATATGTCGAGTTTGTTGTGTCGAGCCAGGTAATCCACTACTAGGTCAAGGCGACATTTCAGCTCCTCTGTAAATACAAAAATACAAAGTTATCATCATTTGTGATTTGTCATAAAGAAGTAGGAAGCAGTAATCAGTATGCAAAATTGATATTCCTCAAGTAGGTGTGCGAATTAGTCTTTCAAACTGTTCCCTCAGCCCCTCGAGTCCCCCCCCCCCCCCCCCCCCCCCCCCCCCATCCTAGCATCCATCAAGACTAACCAGCATTAACCCTCCAGACCTAGTCCTAGAAAGTGTCAAGTAAGACAGGTCTTACCCCTCCAGACTTTGTCCCCTACCCTAGTGTCCAGTAGAACTGACCAGCCTTACCCCTTTAGACTTTGTCCCCTACCCTAGTTTCCATTAGAACTGACCAGCCTTACCCCTCCAGACTTTGTCCCCTACCCTAGTTTCCAGTAGAACTGACCAGCCGTACCCCTCCAGACTTTGTCCCCTACCCTAGTGGCCAGTAGAACTGACCAGCCTTACTCCTCCAGACTTTGTCCCCTACCCTAGTTTCCAGTAGAACTGACCAGCCTTACCCCTCTGGACTTTGTCCCCTACCCTAGTTTCCAGTAGAACTGACCAGCCTTACCCCTCCAGCCTTTGTCCTCTATTCTAGTGTCCAGTAGGACCATTTGCTGGGTATCTGGATTCCACCATTGTAACCAGCCCATCAACACATTCGAGTAGCGACCTGATTGGTTAACTATCTTCTCCTTGGAATCATCTGATTGGTTGACATCATTTTCAAGTACACTGTCTATCTCCCCACATTCCTCAGAAAGGTCATACTTTTTGTCAGCCAGCTGAATACCACAACTTCTCTGTAAAGTCGACCTAGACAAAATACATACAGCCACACTATTACAGTATCGGTATACTTACATCAATTTAACAAATTAGAGGCCTTTGGGCCATAACTGAGCCATCATCTGAGAGAAATTATGAATGATATAGCTTTATATGAATAGAAGCCAAATGGAAAATGCTGTTGCTGTTAAATGTACTGTATTTACATTTGCATGGCATTGTCACTATATAGCCTCTTTGAAAGCTGTGTCGTTGATGGGACTTTAATTACCATGCATCACGAGACACAATTCTTAGCGTATTAATACAACACTGACCGGAACTATAATATCAAATATAAACAAACATGACGGCTGCTGAAATATCGCTGGGCATTGTGAGATTTGACAATGCCATTGTAAACGTATGTGCAAAATAAAAAATAAAATAAAAAACACTTTTATTACAACGAAAACAAGACCAATGTCTGCAATATCGTACAAAATGCACATCGGTTGAAATCACCAATGCCGGCAATGGAAACAATTTTAATGCTCATGCAATTTATCAGAAATATCGTCTGTTACACTGCACTGATCAACAGGGGTTCGTTACAAATGTCTGAAATACACATATTATATAGACCTACTGACACATATGTTACAGACCTACTGATATGAGTCACACCACACATAAACATTTCAGACATTTGTAACGAACCTGTGCTCTGTCGCAAGATCACTCAAGTCAAACGCTATCTTTCACGCGTCTCGCATCCACCATTCCTCAGTTTCTGACGACATGTCAAATAACGAGGATGTTATAGAATCTACTGACTGTTGTCAGGTTCCCATACAATCAACAAATACATTCACGCCTAGATTCTTCACAAAATGAGCAAAGAGAAAAGTTTGAGTTAACTTCCATTTACGGTGTTCACTGTATTTGTCCATGCGCAAAATTTGTTCCGCGGAAAAATCGAAACAATTTCAAATATAACTTTTAGCTCAGAGTTCTATTGATAAACTTAAATCACCCTATAGACATATCATACGCAATTGTATTGATACTGAATTGTGGAATAAAATTGAAGTGTTTGTTAAAATATCAAAGTACTACTTTGTTTTCCAATCAGCACGCAACAATACGCTGTTCAAACTATTGATCGAAATTGTGTGGACTGTCGATACGGCGGGTATTTTTTATTTTTGATATAAATTATAAGTTAAAAAAGAACATAAGAGGCAGAGAAAACGTAAACATAAGTGTTGAACTGTTTTTGTATGGTATTTATGATCTAATTGAATGACACAGCTTTGCAAACAAACAAATCATAATGCGCTAGCGCACATTAGGTTGTTTGCTTGCAAAGCTGTGTCATTCAAATAGATCATAAATAACATACAAAAACAGTTCAATGCTTAAGTATTCACACAGGATATCTCGAGCCCAGTACTGTATTCACACAGGATATCCGGACCCCAGTACTGTATTCACACAGGATATCTGGTGCCCAGTACTGTATTCACACAGGATATCTGGTGCCCAGTAATGTATTCACACAGGATATCCGAAACCCAGTACTGTATTCACACAGGATATCCAGAGCCCAGTACTGTATTCACACAGGATATCTGGTGCCCAGTAATGTATTCACACAGGATATCCGAAGCCCAGTACTGTATTCACACAGGATATCTGGAGCCCAGTACTGTATTCACACAGGATATCCAGAGCCCAGTACTGTATTCACACAGGATATCTGGAGCCCAGTACTGTATTCACACAGGATATCTGGAGCCCAGTACTGTATTCACAAAGGATATCCAGAGCCCAGTACTGTATTCACACAGAATATCTGGATTACTCAATAGTGTTAACTGCTGTATTTGTTTATGTATGTGTTACATTTCAAATAAAAAAAATCAATAATACATAAGAAAATATAAACAATAATTACCTAATTAACTCCAAAAACGTCTATGGAATTCTTTTCATATGGTATGGGTTTCTTTACGAAAAAAAACCCCAACATAAACTCCATTTATGGCAAGTTTCACAAGGTTTGGGTTTCTTTTCTGATAAGATTTATTAAAGGTAGCTGAGTCACACCAGAAAAAATTCCCATGTATGGTTAAAGTTTTGGGTAATGGTATGTGAAACATTCAGTGAAAAAATGAAAAGATGTGTGGACCAGACTATAACTGTTGATACATACATTTCCGGTCCACCCTGTTGTTGTAGGCCAGCCACTGCAGCTCTGTGGGACTGACACGGATAGTGTTTAGACAGGGAGTCACAAAAGGTCACAAGGTCGTCCTGTTCTTGTGTCAGTGGTGCCCGGGATCGTAGCTCTTTGATGATAAAGTCTCGTGTAGATTTGTTCACAGACATCAGGGCCTTTTCCCATAATGTGGCGTCAATATTCAGGCCCTGACAACAGCACATATATATGCATAAGTGATTTCTAGCTATGAATAAAGCAATTTATGTAGAACTCATCAAGCTTGTTTACCGGTAAAAGTATACAACTGTACATACAGTTTTTACATTTCGTTTGTATTTATACTTTATGAAAATTTATGGAGGCGTGTAATTTCAATCAAGTATACATTACTTACGAATCATGTCTGTATGTTGTTGATGCACATCTAGACTATGCACTATCATACAACGTATATTAACGGTACAAATAAAGTGAAACACAGGACATTTTGTAGATTTATAGTTATAGAAGTCAGTAAAACCCTAACCAATCTAGCCTTATCCTAGACATGTGATGATCCTGGTTTAACATTACCAGATTTGCAAGGATGAGGAGGGCTGGTTTGGTCTGTTGGTGCGACAGGTACTGAACAATTTTGTTCAGGCTGGCTCTGATAATACAAGTCAGGTCAGCCTTGTGTCCCTGGTCGCACAGGTAGGTCTGTAGGGCGGGGATACAATTCCCTGTCACTCCACTCTCTATCACAGCCTGAAATATATCACAGGTATATACATATATAGGTCTGTAGGGCAGGAATATAATTCCTTGTCACTCCACTCTCTATCATAGCCTGAAATATATCACAGGTAGATATATTAATATTACATTTATACAGGTGTGTAGTTCAGATATACAATTCCTCGTCACTCAACTCTCAATTACAGCCTGAAATATATCACATGTATATACATTTATAGGCATGAAGGGCAGAGATTATGTTCCTCATCATCTGGAAAAGCCTCCAAATGAAATACACTCTATAAACAGGGATACAAAACCTAACTACTGAAATTGCTCAAAACGGTATTTTTCAAACAGATCAATGATTTTATCATTTTGTGAAAAAAATACATACTTTGTTTACTTTCTTTGACATAAAGATCCTTTCACAGAACAGGTATGACAACCTTTATATCAAGTCCATGGCATCTCATATACACATACCTGATCTGATAATCTACTTTTAGTGCCAGGCATCTAAACTGTACATACCTCTTTTGACATACCGGACCACTCACTGGCTGGAGTACCGGCCTCCGGTACACGATCTGCAGTCCCTGGCATCCCACTCAACCCTGAATTCTGCTGAAGCTGCTTGTCTATACAACCTCTGACCTCTCCAATGAGATCCAGCAATTTTTCTATGGCCATATTTAAACACTTCACCTCCTCTTCTTGTCCATATGATTCCTTCTCCTTATCAAGTAAGTTAAGTCCATCATGCAACAGTTCATAAAGGAAGTCAAGCAAGATTTCAGCCAGTTTCTTAGAGAATCTTTCTGATCCCTTGTCTGTGAGATGTATTTTTACAGTTTCAATCAGTAGCTGTAGAGCTGGCTCCAGCTGCATCAGGTTGTCATGGTGATTAGAGGTCAAAGACCAAGAAGGGGAAGTCACTCCTGGAGAGGTTGGTGTAGCCAGTTTGGAACTGGAAAAGACTGAAAAGAAGATAAAACTAACATTCTGTATACACTTGCAAGTCTTACTTCAGTTGAAATTTCTTAATATAACTGACCTTTCATTATCAAAGTTGTACTTGCCATCAAACAGTTTCATTATCTTCTATTTCCTGATTCATGTACAGGGAATTGGAGATCCAACATTCCTAGTGTAGGTTCAGTGCTGAAAGTTCTACAAGGAACGTAACGTCTGCAGTATAAACTCAGTATGTTCAATGAATCTAAAGTCAATGTAACATACTGCGAGTTCTACAAGGAGCGTAACATCTGCAGTATAAACTCAGTATGTTCAATGACTCCAAAGTCAATGTAACATACTGTAAGTTATACATTTGTAACAGGAAAGAGAATAGTGTGCTTCCACCGGGGATCGAACCCTCGATCTCCAGGTTCCTAGTGGGACGCTCTACCACTGAGCTAAAGAGAAATTCCCTCTAGCTCGAAGCTAGAAGGCGACCTTAATCCTATGTACAGTTAAACCTGCCACACGTTATACAAGGAGCAGGAGATTCAACATTTGCAGTTTAAGCTAAGTGTGTTTGTCCCACGTCTATTCTTAAGTACCGATCTTACTCACATGAGGTTCTTATCTACTGTTTCACTTCAATTACCCATGTCAGTTATGTATCAAAATGGTAAATGATAACATGATTTTCATTAACTTGACGAGCTATATGAATAAGAAACGAATACTAATGTCAAACAAGAGGCCCAAGGGCCTTAGCGGTCACCTGAGTTATATCATAGATACTGGTAGCTTTATTTTACTGTTTAGATGTGATGTGGAAATCAGCATGTAAACTAAGTGAAATACAATACTTGTCATGTCATCAATGGATAAGAATTTGAAAATATTGGTAAATGTTCCCTTTGGGGCCCCGCCCTAGCCCCTGGGGATGGGGCAGGAATCCTAATTTTACAAAGTAAAACTCTCATTTACCCAAGATGATTCTGACTAAGTTTGAGCAATTTTCTGCTGAAAATATATAAAATATATACCGAAAAGTGTTATTTCCCTAT